CCCCAAAAAAAAAAAAGACGCACCAACAACGAAAATAATAAGGAAACAGCTGGATGATAACAGAAACCTATTATGTAGCAAAGAGTCATACTCAAGGCATAAAATCCTTAACCAGTCAAAATCCTCTCTAAAGATCAAGGAGAGTTCCTCGGATAAATAGTAAGGATATCGGTACAAATCTCAAAGAACTAGGAACAGTCCTATAAATATTATGTAACTCTCCCAAGGCAAGGGAGAGACCCCCAATAGCATATACACTATTCTGTAAACCTTCTGAATAAGAAGAAAAGAGAAAAGGAGCAAGAATTTTTATTGAAGAATGAATTAGTCAAGCTCCTGAGCTGATGAACCATTATAATTCTACTTTGTCAATTCCCCATTTTTACTAGTCTTCGCTCTTTCAAGTCCTATAGCACTGATCCTAAGATAACCAATTGTTGATCATCTCACATGCTCACCATCATAAGTTTACATTACGTTCATTTACACCATCAATTAATATTTAATTAATTCCGTTAGATCAAAATTAATGTTCTAATAAGTGTTAAACCAAATTTTTAATTCGATATTTATTGATATTAATGAGTCGCAACTTAATTGTTTATAGATTCATCTTCTCCTAATTTATTCAAAATGAATAGATCATACCCATTAAACTTTTTATTAATTTTTTAATAATAAATTATTTGTTGTATATGAATGACAAAGCACCCATAAATAATGAGTCACCTATGGAGACAGAATTTCACTTGACGTCGATACTGACCAGGATATGACTTCAGCAGCGTATTCGTTTCCAAAAGATAAATCACACGTAGACTTGGAACTCATGGCAACCTCAATTCGTAATCAAGACGTACGACAGTAGTACAACTAAGGATGCTAAAACTAGGAAAAGATTACTGGTAGTGAAAATTTATTTTTTTGGTATTATATTAAAAAGTAAAAAAAAAATCTAAAAAATAATAAATTTTACTCAAAAAAAAATAGTTAATGTTACGATACATATTCTGACCCCTAAAACTAAAGTTTAATAAAAAAGAAAAAAGGAAAGTCGTCGTACAAATCGAAGGGTGGAGGAAGGAGGAGTGTAAGAGACTAAGAGTGAATCGTAGCTGACAGTTCAGATTAGGTCAAAAAAGTACAAAAGTCCCACTCAAAAGAAATCTAAATCCAACGGTGCAGATTCGACGTCAAAAAGGGCCGCGAAAACACGGAGCCGCTCGAACCTAGAGTTTGGAATGGGGGAAAATCTTTTTTATATTCCCCTAATAAAATACCCACTACACTTGTCGTATTCCACCAAAACCAACAACACCCAAATTAATCATAGTTACTTTTCGGAAAAATTTTAATCATATCTCCTTATATAATATCATATTTTTAAAGGCACCCTTAATGTTATTTGAAATGTCATTATGTTCTCTCATAACTTTTTTTTTATTTAATAGTCTGGAGTGTTCGAATTAGTTTATGCATATTTTAATTAATTTTTTTTGTGCGGTTAAAAACAGATCATTCACGTCAAAATTAAACAATTAATGAGAAATAAATCCCTCATAGTCCCACCTTAAAACATTGTGAAGATTTGAACTCAAAAAATTTGAATTTACAGTTTATTCATGTTATCATTTGAACTACCATCGAAGTTGTTTTATCATAATTTTCATAACTTCGTATTAAATATCGCACCATTGTATCTGTTATTAATACTGTCATAAATAAAAGCAAGCCTACATAAATTCATTGAATTAGTGATGAATTCTTTTTATAGATGAAACCCAGTTTTAATTTAAAATTTGTCATTGATTAGATATCGTGATTAAGTCTCTAAATTAGATACACTTGTACTAAAAATAAGAAAATTAGTTTTATAGAATTAATTTTACTTTTCTATTATTAAATATGACAATAATACAATATTATATTGACTAATCTTAAGAGAATATTCTACACAAAGTTTAAAAACCAATTATCGTATGTAGGGTATTCTTAAAAATGTGATAAATTATAGGGGATGTGAAAAAAAACTCTCTTGATAATTTTTAACTCAACACCACCAAGTACAAATAAATATTGGGTATAGTGGTTATCAATGTCAAATGTGTCACTAATTAATTATAAAATAATAAACATAATTGATGAATTTTATTATTTTAAGATGACAATTAGAGTTTAAATACTTATTATAATAATTATCAAAAATAATGTAGTACATTAAATTTATTTAATATTTTATTATTAATTATTTGATGTCGATATTTTTCTCCACCAGCACACCCCAATCTTATAATAGCAAAGCTCACTCTTTACTCCATGTATGTGTCTCTCTCTCTCTTGTCTCCCATTTTCGGTGGGTTCAAGTAATCTAGCTAGTCTAGTCTAGTCTAGTGTAGTCTAGGGAGAGAGAGAAAAGAGATCAAAATGAGCTGCAATGGTTGTAGAGTGCTTCGCAGAGGATGCAGCGACTCGTGCGTCCTAAGGTCGTGTTTGGAATGGATCGACAACCCTCAAGCTCAAGCCAACGCCACTCTTTTCGTCTCGAAGTTCTTCGGCCGGAGCGATCTCATGGCCTTCATCTCCGGCGTCCCCCATAACAAAAGACCTGGTAAGGAAACTAAATAAACAATTAATAAATCATAATTTACGATTACAATCCGGAGACATGAAGCTTCTGTTTTTTTTTATTTATTTCGATTTTTGTTTTTTGTCTTTGCATGTGTATTTCATAGCTTTGTTTCAGTCGCTGCTCTTTGAAGCCTGTGGCCGGACAGTGAATCCGGTGAATGGTGCGATTGGCCTTCTCTCAACCGGAAACTGGCACGTGTGCCAGTCTGCGGTGGAAACAGTCCTCTCCGGGGGAATTTTACGGCCGCTGGTCACCGGAATTTTAACCCCTAATTCCGATGAAGCTTCCGAGGTCTTCCGACTTGGATACACTAAATCTACAGCGTCCATGCATGTATCTGATCAACTGATCGCGCATCAACCATCCGATCTGAAGATACCTCTGTTTGGAACCAGTTATCCCCCGGATAAATGGCTGAATTCTCGGGTGTCACTCGGCTCCGACGTGTCGGAGGTCTCGATGGGTTTTGAAACCGGTGATGATGGCGTGAAGAAGAAGCAGGGTGGTGGAGGAGAAGAACCAAAGCTTCTGAACCTCTTTGCGTAATGAAATGATGAGTCAGTGAGTAAAATCTGACTTTTTGGCGAGCATAGAACTCGTTGAATCGGCTACTGTAACTCTTCAACAGAGTACTTTTTTTTTTATGAATAACTATAAAATTATGAAGACGATCAAACTTTTTGGTATCTTTCCGGCGCATGCATTTTTTTTTTCTTTTGGTTCTCCGGTGGTAGATTTCTGGGTTTTGTTTTTTTTTTTTCATTTTAAAAAGTTAAAAATATGAGTAAAGCTAGATGAATTTAAAAATTAGACTTGATAATCTCAACCATTGAATAGGTAGCGTGTTCCAATAAATGTTGTGATTCACAATGAAATCAATAGTTGAGATTATCAAGTCTAATTTTTAAATCTACTTTTTAAGTTCATGTAGTATTGCTTTAAAATTATTATTTTAACATAATTTATTGACATGTTATATTTATTAAATTGATTCTAAATCTCGACAATTTTAATGAATAGTTTAACTATTAACAACGATAAGCTATAAATTCAGTTCAAATTTTTACAATTTTTTGGGTGGGGTCGTGAGGAGTTTATTTTTAATAAATATTCTAATCTCGATATAGATGGTCTATAATTGATCGTATTGCTCAAGAAATTTATTAAAGTAAGCGTAAACTGTTTCAAACATCTTTGATCGTTAAATAAAAAAAAAAAAAATATATATATATATATATATATATATATATATATATAGTGAAACTCAATTAATAGTAAAATAATAATATTATTTAAATTTAATTTATTAATCTAATTTATCTTAATCGTTAAACTAATTTTAGGTAAAAAATATATTGAGGCCATTATTAAATCTAACAATTATAAATATTTAAATTAATAAATTAAATATTATTTAGAGTTCATAATCATGTGGAGATTTGATCAATAAATAACGTCAACAAATGAAAAAAATAATTGTGTATTCATTAGGCACACTGTCATATGGTGCATGTTACGAATATAATATAATATAATATTTACAAATTTCCACTAAATAGCTGCCACCTCCCACTTATGACAAAATGAAGTTAAGGTTGTCTGCTGTGCGTGGCTGTGATATGAGCGTACACCTGCGAGTCCGTACAATTCCCACACGAAACTTCCTGGCAGTAGCAACTCCTACTGATCTCATTGCCTTTTTCTTAATTTTGAGATTATCTTTTGTCACTAACCTCAGACTCTTTTCTTTTTCTTTTTATAGATTAGGGGTGGACAGGTCAATTTTTGTGTATTTTAATTAATTATTTCTTTAGTCTGGTCAAAGTTACTTCATTACATCAGAATTAAAATATTCACGAAAAATAAATTTCTCATAACCTAATTCTAAAAAATTATCTAAATTCGAATTCAGANACCTCAGACTCTTTTCTTTTTCTTTTTATAGATTAGGGGTCGTCAGGTCAATTTTTGTGCATTTTAATTAATTATTTCTTTAGTCCGGTCAAAGTTACTTCATTACATCAGAATTAAAATATTCGCGAAAAATAAATTTCTCATAACCTAATTCTAAAAAATTATCTAAATTCGAATTCAGAAAATAGATACATTCTTTGAATTAAAGGTCTCAATTGATTTTTATAGAATTGAAAATTTATTTATAATTAGTTAATTATATAAAGTGACAAATTTAATTATAATTAACATACAAGTACAAATCACTCAATTTGACATACAAGTACATAACTATTAGCATCATTCAAAAAATGTCACTGCTCCTATATTTTTCAAAGCATAGATATTTTTTTTCACTATTTATTATTCGGTTGTCTTTCTATATGTTATGATGAATTCAGCAACAAAAGTCAATTTGAATGACCCATGGCAGTCATTTTTACTCCAATAATTGTGACAAGAATAAAAAAAAATCTTTATTTTTTTTTTATTTTGGACAATAAATCTTTTTAAATAAGTGTCACATCAATCATTCTTGCAAAATAAACTGTGAATTCAAGTAATGACGTGTAAATCATAAAATTCCATTCCACCCGGAAGTCAATCAATGTTTACAAGAATTTTATAAATAAATATATTCTCATATATTTGGTTAGTATAAAAAATTTATGAAAAAAATCTAAAATTTTTTTATTCTATTGTCTGAAAGAAAAAAAAGTTGCTAGAATTTTTTTTAATTATCTAAATTACTCTTAATTATATTAAATCGATTAAAGAAAAAATAATATATAATATAATTGAAAGTTAAAAAATTTTAAAAAATCACTCATAACCTAATTTTTGAACAAGCATTAGCACAAATGTCTTTAGTTAAAATTATATGATTAATCAAATTCATACTAGAATTTTTAAAAAATTAATAAGCAATATAATATTTTAAGAAAAATAAGAATAAAATATAAGTTGGTTATAGATCACAATTTTTTTACATTTTCTTGTGTTTTTTATAAGAAAAAAAAATTGTTAGTTATGAAAAAAATTTAAGAATGAAAGAAAATTATTTTTTTCATCGTTTTCCATTTCATACTAATCAAACACATGAAAATTTTTTAAAAAATATCTTTCTTGCATTTTTTACCATTATCTTGCTAAACAAACAAACTCTCAGGCAGGCCCAACGTAAACGGGGCGCATTAAACAAAAAATTTACATGGGGTCCTATTAATAATTAAAAATAACATATAATTTTTTTATTTTTTATTGTTTTAAAAATTATATTTCTTATTTTTTGTGCTGCAAACATATTGATCCAATTCTTATATTTTTATTTATTGCATGATTTGGTTCACCACTAATTAAATTATCACTTCTATTTCTACTTATGTTTTTTTTTATTGCCGAGCCCTTTTTTTAGATTGAATGAATTGTTCTTCTTTTTTGTTTTTTATAATCAGAGTCATACTTTTGAGTAGACATATCAATAATTAAACATTAATTTTTAACTAAAACGAGGTAATTTTTTAGTTGCTAGATTGAAATAAAATAGAGAATTAAGGTTATAAACACTTCTAAAATCTAAGGCTCTAGGCAACCATCTTAGTGACCTATGCTTAGGGCCGGCCCAGGTCCTACATGATAGTTCTTAGTAAACCATGGTACTAAGTCAGATTTCCTTCTATCAAGGAAAAATTTTTCCAATATCATTATGATCTAAAGACATACCACAGCTTACTGAATTCCAAAATTAATGAATCCAACTACTCAAGCATCAAACTTCTATGGGATCCATTCGTTGAGTTGCTAAAAAGGGAAATTTTAGAATACTAGAAAAAAAATATTTTAGTATCATACCCTCAATTACAATTTTTTGTGATAAAATTATACATTTTAAAAAAATATATAATTGTTTAAAAAAAAGTCATGATCTGTCATAGAGTCCTGGTCGATAATTTGACCAAGTACTTCCTTACTTAGATCAATCCCAAATTATGTTCAACTGGACAATGCTTGGTAGATTGAGAGGAAAGGAAGAGCACATCCTCGTTTGTTTGGCCAACAGTCAATTCAAGGAAAGAGAGAGAAAGAGGAAGGGGGGTGGGGGTGGGGGTGGGGTGCGCTACACGTCATCAGGCCCCACTTTTCCCCTCTTTATAATGGGGGGGTGTGGAGTCCACGTCATCAAATCTACTTTAATCATAGGAAAAGATTAAGCATGGAATAGAAACAGTTTAAAGCAATGGATTCGGTTGGTGCTGCTCGCCGCATCTCTAGTGGGTCCCAAATTATTTATTTTTATAAAGTGGAAGAAATCGCTGCGCGCCATTCTCACTCTTCCATTTTAACCTCCGAATCTATCTATCTTAAAGTATAATATAAAATAAAACAGTATTGAATAAATATATTCGATAATTTTAAATAAATTCAACAAACAATCATTAATTAACAATCAAAAATATTATTTTATTATATTTAATAATTAATTAATTACATATTATTTATGATTAAATTTGTTAAATTCCTTAAGTTTACAATTTGATACTTTTTTTAGTGTTTGATTTATTTTGTAGGTAAAATGGTTAATTTAAAATAATAATGAATAAGGAAAGTGAAACAATCACTAGAGGAAGAATCACAATTGATAAGAATTAAAGAATCAATATTAAAATAGTAAGATTTGAAAATAAGACAACAATTTAATTCTTATAGGAGTTCAAATTAGAAGAAAACTTATTTAGAATTGGATGATGAAAATATTATAGAAGAAAAAAATTTGACACATTTTCAGTATTTTGGTCATAACTTTTGATTCCGATATTCGATTGACTTGATTTTTACGGGATTGGAAAGAATACTTCAAAGGCTACGAAAGTGTATTTTACAAAAATTTTGTGATTCAGCCTTTAAATATACAAAATTTTAGCTCGAAATCTAAACAAATTTTGTACCCGCGGCCCTAAGATTCTATACATGAGATTTAACCTTAAAAAACTTTTTTTTGGAAAACAATTCTTCTCAATCCAACCTTATATCTTTTACCTATACCTAAAATTTATTTTATTATAAATAAAAGATTTTTATTTATTGAGGCGATGATTTGAATTATTATTATTCTCTTCTCATCTTCTTTTTTTTTTTTCTAGTTGTATGACTTGTTAAAAGTCCAACTAAAGTTAGAGGAAATATTTTTAATAAAATAAATTATTTATTGTTGTTTCGATGTTCTTTTTAATTGATGATTTATTCTTTCAATTAGTTATTGTTCAGTGTTCAATGTTCTGTATACTTTTTTGATTTATTATGTTATGTACATCGAATGTTTGAGATTCCCTACGAGTCAAATAACTAGTTATTCCATACTTGAATTAATTAATTAAAATTTCTTATAATATAGTTGATTTATTATTTGCAATAAAATAAGTTTATCTGTTAAAAAACTTAATTTATTGTAGTCTTCGAGCACGGTGAATGTTTGTGATTTACAAATAAATTTTTATATTTATTTCAGATAATTTATTAATTATAATTTTTGATATTTTTATATCATCACTGCTAAATATTCTGATTGAAATCACTTCTGAGTTGAATTCTCAATT